AGGGAATAAATCTTTAAAAAAATTCCAAGCTTACTCTCTCCCAGATGGACTCCTTGTACCATTTTATTCCAAAACATGATTTTTCCCTCCTGCATTAAAATGCCATGTACCAGTGGTACTTTGGGATCAATTTCTGTTTTTCTACCACACAAGTCTACTTGCCTAGTTCTGAACAGCTACCCAATTGTTTGACCTTCATGATCTGATCCTGCCAGTTAAGTCCTCTTTCCTACTCTTGTAGTTCGTGGTCTTCCCTGAAACTTCTCATTTACTCTTCCTTTTGAATATTGACATTGTTGCCTTCCATTTTCAAAAAACTCCCTACTGGGATTCTAATTGGACTGTTTTGAATTGTACTCTGAATTTTGATATCGTATAATACTGAGTTACTTGAATTCCTTCTGCCTAACTTTGTGTACATCTTTCAAGTGGTTTTTGTCTCTTTTCCTAACCTTATATAACTCCTTTGGTTTTTCTGTAAACTTTCCCCTAGGTATTATATAGGTTTGAATATTACTATGAATGGTATTTTTATCCTCATTCCATTTCCAGCTGGTTTTGCTTCAAATACAGAAAAGCTGTCTGTCTAAGTTGCGGTCGAATACATTGGGGAGAGGAGAAGTATAAACTCTTGGGTCTCGTAGGTAGACAACTCCAATTGAACTCTCCTTTTCAAATATTCACATAGATTATAAAGGTTCTTCTCCACTCATTTTTCTATGACTCCCAGAAATGATGATTTTGCCATAACCACCAAAAATGGTCTTCACCCCCACCTGCAGTGGGGGTGAAAATAACTTCAGGATCATACCATTTAAAATTATATTTGCTGTGTTTTTTAGGTACTAGTCTATTTTTTTTAACTTAAATTAAACTAAAATTGGTTTATCCCATCTTTTAAAAAGGTTTCTAGGTCTCCCTTGTGGCACAAGGGGTTAAGTCTCAGCACTATGAAGCTATCAGCAGCCACGGGGGCACGAGTTCGATCCCTGCCAAGGAGGTGACCACATGGCGCAGCAGACCTCTCATGTCTGGCCCGCTGCTCCCCTCAGCAGCGTATTTCAGTAGATCGGCCTGTTCTCCTCCCCACTCTGTCTCTGGTGAATCTTCTTACCCCAACTCTTGTATGCATAAACTAAATAAAATAAATCTTTAAAAAAATTAAAATAAAAAGCTTCTGTTAGAAACAGCTATGGATTTGATAAAAAAAAAAAAACTCATGCACTTTATGAAAAATCATATGGCTATCTTTGTAATTTTTATTTTTTTAGTTAAAGATTTATTTTTATTTAGTTATACATATAAGAACTGGGGTGTAGGGGGCCTCCTTGGTGGGACAAAGGGTTAAAGCGCAGCCCTATAAAGCTATCTGCAACCCCTGCAACACCAATTTGATCCCTGGCCAGGGGCCTGATCCATATGGCACAGCAGACCTCTCCTGTCTTACCTGCTGCTCCCCTCAGCAGTGTATTTCAGTAACAATCCAGCTGTTCTGCTCCTCACTCTGTCACTGGTGAATCCTATCAATACCCCCCACACCTATGGCTTGAACCCCAATTGCATACAAGAACTGGGGCTCAGGCCAGAGGTGTGGGGATAAGAGGATTCACCAGAGACAGAGTGGGGAGAAGAATGGGCAGATTGACCAAAATATACTGACTGCTAAGGGGAGCAGGGGGTGGGCCAGGAGAGCCCCACCAGCCGCGTGGGTCAGCTCCCTAACTAGGGATTGAACCCACACTGCAGTAGCTGTGAAAGGCTTCGTAGAGCTGTGTTTTAACCCTTTGCACCATCAGGGAGGGCCCAAATAAGTAAATTTAAAAAAAGAAAAACATCACTATCAAACTGTTGCCAGCCACTGCAGCATGAGTTGGATCCCCAGCCAGGTTGCTGACCCACGTGGCGCAGCAGACACCTCCTATCTCACCTGCTGCTCCCCTCTGCAGTGTGTTTCAGTCAATCTGCCTGTTCTGCTCCCCACTCTGTCTTTGGCGAATCCTCTCACCTCTGACCTGAACCCCAGTTCTTTTATGCATAAATAAATCTTAAAAAAAAAAAAAGAACTGGGGTGTAGGCCAGAGGTGCAGGGGATGAGTGGATTCACCGGAGACAGTGGGGAGCAGAACAGGCAGATCTAATGAAATACACTGCTCAGGGGAGCAGCAGGCGAGACAGGAGAGGTTTGCTGTGCCATGTGGGTCAGCAACCTGGCTGGGGGTCGAACTCATACAGGTGTGGCTCATGGTAGTTTGATAGGGATGAGACTTTAACACTTGTGTCTCCAAGGGAGGCCCTTGGACACCATTTCTAATGACTTGTATGAAGTTCTGTTGATGTATTTAAGTCACTTGGGCTATTTCCAGTTTTTAGTTTTCTAAACAATAATCAACATCCTTGAACATCCCTCTTTATGAACATACAATTGATCTCCTAGCAGTTACCTTATTAGTTATTTCCAGTTGTTTCCATTACCTTAGGATAAACTTCCATGTACCCCTAACTTTGTGAACTTAGAATTTAGTTTTGCTTTTTTAAAAATATAACATTTTTGCCTTTGATGTCTCTTCTTGTGCTGGTCTTGAGGACAGAGCCCGCCCATGGCAGTGTTGCTGAACATTGCACAGCTGAGGGTGAAGGCTGCTGCTTCTTGCAACCTAGCTTCTGAGATTATACCGTCTCCTCCAACTCTGTGACCACCCTGCCTAAGTTATGATGATGGTGGAGCAGGGGGAGAGGCTGGTCCAGCCAGCTGGAAAGTACATTCACATTTTAACCCATCCATTTCCACTCACCATCGGTGCGTTCACTAATTTATCCATACATTGACTCATCTGTCAATCAGTCTGCTCACATTTTTGTCCTTTCATTTACCTGTCGATCCTCCCATGCATCTATTAACCCTCTTACTATCCAAACGAGTGTGTTATGCTCCTCGTTTGTTATGTAGCAGGGATGCTTGACATCCCTCTTCTTGCGCCAAGGTGCCCCTGAAACCAGTCGCTCCCATTCCTCCTTGCCTCCTGCCCCCCACCCGCCATTAGTCGTTCACCATCCTTTCACCACCTATCTGCTCACCACCTCTTCACTCATTCCTTCACCAGTTCCTTCACCTTTTTTTTTTTTTTTTTTTAAGATTTATTTATCTGTGCACACAGAACTGGAGTACAGGCTAGAGGGGCAAGGGTGGTGACAGGATTCACCAGAGACAGAGCAGGGAGCAGAACAGGCAGACTGACAAAGCACACTGTTGAGGGGAGCAATGGGCAGGTCAGGAGAGGTCTGCCACGCCATGTGGTCACCTCTGGGGCGGGAATCGAACTCATGCTGAAGTGGCTTTAGCTTCCCAGTGCTGTGCTTCAACCCGCTGCGCCACCAGGGAGGGCCCTCCTTCACCTCTTTTTGCATAACTGTGTCTCTATTTGTATTTCTACCATCCACCCACCTACCCATTGGCACATCCATCCATTTCTCCCTCCATTCATTTGCTTATCCCTCCATATATCCCTTTCTTCCTCACGTCCTCCTCCTCCTCTTCCTCCTGTTCTCCTCCTCTTCCTCCCTCCCTTTGTCCTTTACTCACTCATTCATCCACCCATTTTTCTATTTACCTACTTACCCATCTATTCATTCTCATCAGTCAGTTCATTTATTTACCCATCCATTTACCCACCAACTTACCACCTGCCCATCCATCCTCTCACCCACCATCAGTGCTTCACTGTTTTATCCATTTATCCACTCATTTATCCATCAGTCTATTTACATATTTATCCATTCATCCTTCCATCAGTCCATTCATCCATTCATCCACTTAGTCCATTTCCTTAGTCATTTCATTCATCAGCTTTATTTGCCAAACGTCAATTCTTCTACCCAACCCTCCATCTACCCTCCAACCTGGCTACCATGCACTCATCCATTGATGTATCCATTCAATATTTAGTCATGCATCTATCTATCCATTCAACTTGCAGTCCATTCATTTATCAGGCAAGCTCGCCATCCACTCAACACCCACCCATTCACAGCCTGGAGCCAGGCCTTGACAGAGAAGGGGATACAGAAATGACTCAGACTTGGATCCTATCCTTTAAGAATTCACAATAGGGAGGGGCCTCCCTGGTGGCCCAATAGGGTAAAGCACAACACTATGAAGCTATTGCAGCTACTGCAGCATGAGTTCGATCCCTCGTCAGATGACAGACTTCTCCTGACGTGCCCATTGCTCCCCTCAGCAGTGTATTTTAGTACATCTGCATGCTCTGCTCCCTACTCTGTCTCTGCCCCACATCTCTCACCCTCACACCTCTGGCCTGTACCCCAATTCTGTATGCATAAATAAATCTTTGGGGAAAAAAGAATTCACACTGTAGAAAGCAGATTATAATCACTCTCACAGAGACTCACACACATAGGAACTTTCCAAGACAGTGTTATCAGTGCTGTTCTCACAGTATATTCCAGAAACATAGAGTTTGAGAAGCATAGATGTCTGGGACTTAAGGTGAGACTATACTTTGGGTGTCAGAGTTGAAGTGGGGAGGGTTCCAGAGGCCATGTGGGCAGGTGGCCAAGAGAGAGTATCTGCATAAGAGAGGCAGGAGATTGCTAATTGCGAGGAGAAGATGTAGATCCCAGGGCAAGTGCCCTGCCCATTCTGATACCAACTGTCTGCCAGATTGTGCTTCCTGACTGCCTCCCTCCTGGCTGCTCCCCATAGGCAAAGCTGACCCTCTTAGGAACCAGGACAATGCAGCAAGCAACGCAGCGACCGTCGTCACCCAGTGAGCAGAACTCCTACCAGCCCCAACACACCCCCAATCTCAAAGACAAAGCAGAGACGCTGCATCCCCATCCCCAGCATAAGCCATCGGTGAACAAGGAGACCGCTGTGCAACAGCTGGCCCCAGACAAGATGACATCTAGACATATCCCACGCCTCCGGGCTGTGGTTGAAAGCCAGGCCTTCAAGAACATCCTGGTGGACGAGATGGACATGATGCTGTCCCGGGCAGCCACCCTCATCCAAGCCAGCTGGAGGGGGTACCAGCTCCGGCAGAAACTGACCTCACAGATGATGGCAGCTAAGTCTATCCAAGAGGCCTGGCGACGCTTCAACACCAGGCGCCTCCTCCGGTCGGGCAGGGCGGTGGGGAAGAAAGTCCACAAGGAGGAGGGAGACATTCCTTACCACCCTCCACAGCAAGTGCGTTTCCAGCCTCCAGAAGAGGGTAAGTCCCTTCAGGCCCAGCCTGTCATGGTAAGCAAGGAGACCCAATGCCCTTCCACTGACACTCTGGCCACCTGCACACCCCAGGTGACCTCGCCGCAGCCCCAGGGTACTCCACAGCTAGGCATGCAGGCCCCTGGTGCTGTTGGAGGCTCTGCTGTCACCTTCCTGCCACACCAGACCACCGCCATCAGGCCTCCAGGCCCAGAAGCCAAGTGCCTGCTGACAAGAACTGTCAGAAATGCATGCCTTGCCCACCATGTAGAAGGGGACATGGTGAAGACCAAGCAAATAACTACCAAAGCCAACAAGCCAGGAGCCTCTGGACCACCACCATCTGGAAAGCATGTGCAGGCAGTTCATGGAATGCTCAAGAACCACGTGGGAGCAGAAGTCAAAACCCTTCCCCACAAAGACCCAGCACCTGTGATCACCAAGACTCCAGCCCAGTCAAACCCAGTGCCCAGACATACCCAGACATACCCAGTGACCAAGACTCCATCCTCATCAAGCCCAGGATCCACAATAACAACGAAGACCTCTCCTCGGCCATATCCAACCACGCTGGTGGCCAAGGCCCTACCCCAGACAGGCCCGGCATCCACAGTAACCAAGAGCTCATTCCAGTCATGCCTGCCAGCCACAACAACCAAGAGCCCACCCCAGACGGGCCCACCAGCCACAGTGACCAAGACCCCACCCCAGATGGGCCCACCAGCCGCAATGACCAAGACTCCACTCCAGTCATGCCTGGCAGCTATGATGAACCGGATTCCAACCCTGCCGTGCCCGGTGTCTGAGATGACAATAACCAAGACCTCTTTCCATACGTATCCACCGCCCACAATGGCCAAAGTGCCACTGCAGCCTTGCCCAGTGGCCCCAGTGACCAAGACTCCAGCTCAGATACAGCCAACATCCTCGATGACCAACACTTTAGCCCAGACTCGGTCAGCAGCCATGGTGACCAAATTCCCACCCCAGATATGCCTCTTAGCCTCGATGATTAAACCCCCGCCCCAGACATGCCCCACAGCCGCAACGGCCAAGGCCCCGCCCCAGACATGCCCAGTGACCGGGACGGCCAAGACCCCAGCCCAGACTCGCCTGGCAACTACATCAGCCAAGACCACGATGCAGACTGGCAGAATCACGATAACCAAGACCCCACCTCAGATGCCTCCAGGGCCTTTGCTGACCAAGACCGCTCCCCAGGCGCGCCTGGCAGCCATGATCACCAAGACTCCAGCCCAGCTGCGCTCAGTGGCCACCATCCTCAGGACACTATGCTTGCCCCCTCCAGCAGGTGGAAATCTGAAGACTCCACCTGCAGCAGCAGGTGGAATTCCCAACACCCCATCCCACACTTGTCTGAATGGATCAAAGGTCAAGTCTATGGTGATTGCCAAGGAGGTGGCAGGGGTGACCAAAATCTCATCTCACTTGGGCCTGACAGAAGGGACAGTGAAACACTGCTCCTCACCCCAAATGGGGGCTGGCACTTCCAAGACACCAGCCAGATCTCCTGTGGAAGTTGGAAAAAACAAGGTCTTGCCACAGAAACAAGTAAAAACGGTATCTAGCACCAGTGTGGTTATGCGCACTCTCCCTGGGGGACTTTCCAAGGGAAAAGTGACTGAGGGAAAGAAGTCACCCTCGCAGGTACTCCTGAGGACCGATGTCGTGAAGGTCCAATCTCAATCCCAGGTGTTTGCACCTGTAGAAACAGCTGTGATCCCACCCCAGGGACCGATGACCAAATGTCCAGCCAAGACCCAGCCCCACGCACAGCTGGCCACGTGTCCAACCACAAACTTTCCTCAGAGACATCCACTCGCTGAACTGACCAAAGTCCTGTCGCAGGGACATCCACCGACCAAGTTGGCCACTTCCCTGTCCCAGTCACCTCTGGGAGCATGTCTATCCAAGGCGCAGTCTCAGGGACACATGCCCCCCAAGTTGGCCAAGGCCCCATCCCTGGCACACCTGGGCAAATGTCTGACCAAGGCACAGTCCCAGGCACATTTGGTCACAGGCATGATGAAAGTCCACTCCCAAGCCCATCTGCCCATTGGACTGACTAGGGCACAGTCCCAGGCCCAGCTGGTCACAGAAACAGCCAAGTGTCTCTACACAGCCCAGCAGGCCACTGAGAAGAGCAGCAAGACCACGTCTCAGCCTCTCCTGGCTGGACTGAAGGCCTCCACCCAGCTTTGCCAGACCACTGGTACCCTGGGCTCTCTGCCCCAAGCCAAGTTGGATAATAGGCCAGCTCAGCTCTCAGGCCACAGCCACATGCAGACCAAGGCCACCCAGGGCCCATGCCAACGGGCCCCTGAGGCCCAGAGCATGCTGGTGCCACTGCTGGCATCCCCTGGACACGCCACCTGCAAAGTGGAATCCTGGGGTGACAGCAGGACGGTCCAGGCCCAGTCCTCCACAGTCAGCCCGGCCACGTCCTGCCAGGAGGAACTAGCGGCCTCCCAGCTCGCTTCTCTGTGTGCTGAGCTGGCAGCCGTGCTGGGCTCCCACGAGGACCTCCGCAGCCTGCTGACCAAAGCTCTGTCCCAGGGGGAAGTGCGGACGGCCCTGAACCAGGCTCTGTCTAAAGAAGTCCTGACAACCACCGTGACCAAGGCCCTGCCCCAGGGCATGCTGGGCATGGCACTGGTGAAAGCACTCTCCTGGGGCGAACTGGGCATCGCCTTGTCCCGTGCTTTGTCCAGGGGTGAGCTCCGGGCAGAACTTACCAAGGCTATGCAAGGGAAACTGACCGACGTGCTCAGCAAAGCCCTGACGGAGGAGGAACGTGCGGCCCTGAGCCAGGCCCTGTGTCAGGGCGAGCTGGGAGCCGTCCTGGGCCAGTCTTTGTCTCAAGCAGCCCTGAGGACTGGAGTCGTACTCCCCAAGGCCACCTCCAAACCGGGCAGCGGAATGACTGTGATGCCAACCCCAGTGGCGGTGGACTACAGTGGGGGGAGCCAGTCGGCCCCATGGGGGCCCACCCTGTGTCCTGTGAGACCTCAGCCCAGCAAGGTCAGGGTTCCCCAGGACGGGGCCTGGGAGGGTTGTATCCAAGGCTGGCCCACTGGGCTCTTGGCGGAGATGGGGGATGGGGTCATGCTCCTGGGGTCATCCTGCTGGTCAGTGGTCTCTGTGTGTGCCTCCTCCCTTGGTAAGGTAATTACCACTGTCCATCAGTGTCCCCTGATGGCCACCTTGGGCCCTACTTTGTCGTGGGAGACGAGGTCCCACAATGACTCCTCATCAAACCTGTTTCTGAACCCCGAGGTCCATGAGAAAAATGTGTACCTGCCCCTTGGGGTCAGCAAATTGGCAAGGGACTCGGGACCCAAATTGCCCACGTCACCACATCCACAGCCGCCTCCCAGTCTGTGGCAGCCTCTCAGTGCCAATGGGGTGGGCCCAAGTACCAGCCAGCCCTCAGTGGCTGGTAGCCAAGGACCAAGGTCCCACAAGCCACACATGGTCAGCAGGGTGGCCCCGCATCTGTGGTTGTCATCTGGGGCAAGCAGTGGGGCTCCAGACAAACTTCCTGGCACTTCAGGCAGTGGGAGATCTGCTCATTCCCACCGTTGTGCTGCAGGTTCTGGGGGTACCTGCTGGTGCCGGTCCTCCAGTGTGTGTCAAACCTCAGGGGTCAGAGGTCTACAGCAGCCACCCGTGGTCCCTCATGGGACCATGCAGACCACCCCAAGTCATAACCGGGCCGGTGTGGGCTCTAGGGAGATACACAATAAGGTGACCCCAAGTCCACCACTGGCTACGAAGGCCAGAAAAATGCCCTTAACCCAAACACAGACCACAGCCTGTGACAGGAGCCCCAGTGTGCCCGTCTCCACAGCCTCTGACCATCCATGTGCCCTGAAGAATCAGATGGACCCCAGCCTGTTCCAAGGCTCGGCAGGAAGCAGGTTGGCACCCACCCACTCCTGGGCAGCTCTACCCAGGCAAGGGAAGACTCGGACGCGGGCTCCCGCTCCGGACGCAAAGTGCCCCCAGGACCACACGACTGGCCACTGTCTAAGGGAACTCGTGGTCAGCTTGCCACAGGGCTCAGACAGCAACCTGACCCGCAGCTTTTCCCAGGGCTCCAAGGCCCATGGCCCAAGGGTGAGCGACTGCCCGAGCTCAGTGTGGAGCAGCAGCTCCCTCAGCCCCTCCGCCACGTCCGCGGCTGGCCTGACTGAGGCCGGCCAGGTGGAGGACAGGTCCCAGGAGGCCAGCCTGGACAGGAACCTGCAGCTAGAAAGTCTTCTTACTTCAGAGGCCCTAGGAAGAGTCCAGGGGCCGAGAGAAGTGGAAGTGGCTGAGAGAGGGGGCCACAGGCCCATGATCCCCACGTTCCACCACCAGTCCTCTCCGGCCTCAGAAATGACCCCTATTCTGACCCACAATTCAGTATCCAGCCGTGTGACCTTCAGTGTCCACTGGGGCTTGGCTGATCAGGATGGCATAAATATAGGCTCAGATCAATGTCCTGTGGGCCGGAATAAGAGCTTTCCCCAGGGCTCCTGTAACACAGGGCTGACGAGGAGTTTGTCTGTGGGTAATTTGGTCCCTGCTATACATCAGCACTGCTCTGTGGCCAATAGACTGACCACAAGCCTATACCAGCCAGTGACTGGTAAGGTAGGCCCCACCCTAGACCAGCCTTATATGGCCATGAAGGTGACCCCAAGTCTATCGGATCCATCTATATCCATTAAGAGGATTCCCTCTCTCGGCCAGTCTTCAAAGGCCAGCAGGGTGGCCCTCAGCCTACGCCAGGGATCAGGGATCAGTGCAATGCCCCCCAGTGGGACTCACACAACAAGTTCCATTGAGGTTGGCTCAGGCCCTTTCCAGTCATGTGTGACCAGTGGGATGAACCCCACCCTAGCCCAACCACCTAAGCTCAGTGAGTCGGCCCCCTTCCTATCCCAATCGTCTGTGATCAGTGAATTGACCCCTAGCTCAGCCCAGCCATCTGTGACGGGTGGGGTGGCCCCCAGTCTAACCCAGGCACCTGTGAGTGGTGGGGCTGCCTCGAGTTTAGCCCAACCATCTGTGACCAGTGAGGTTGTCCCCTGCCTTGCCCAACTCTCTGTGACGGGTGGGGTGGCCCCCAGTCTAACCCAGCCACCTGTGAGTGGTGGGGTAGCTTCCTCCTTAGCCCAACCATCTGTGACCGATGGGGTCCCCTGCCTTGCCCAACTCTCTGTGACTGGTGGGGTTGCCCCCTGTCTAGCCCAGGCACCTGTAAGTGGTGGGGTAGCTTCCCCCTTAACCCAACCATCTGTGAGCGATGGGGTCCCCTGCCTAGCCCAACTCTCCGTGACTGGCGGGGTGGCCCCCATCCTAGCTCAGCCACCTAAGATCAATGGGTTGGCCTCCAGCTTAGCCCACCCTACTGTGGCCAGTGGGGCGGTCCCCAGTTTAGCTCAGCCATCTATGATTAGTACGGTGACCCCCAACCTAGTGCAGCCATCTGTGACTGGTGAGATGCCCCCTAGCCAAGCCCAGCCATTTCTGACTATTGGGATGGTCCCCCATCTAGTTCAGCCATCTATGACTGATGGGGTAACCCTCAGTCTAACCTTGCCGTCTATGACTGGTAGTGTGGCCCCCAGCCTAGGCCACCCACCCATGGTCTGTGGAGTGATACCTGGTCTTGTCCAACCATCCGTGACCAGTAGGGTATCTCCCAGCCTTGTCCAATCACCTATGACCAGCGAGGTAGCCCCTAGCCTAGGCTACCCAGCCATGGTCTGTGGGGTGACACACAGCCTGGCCAAGCCACTTGTGGCCAGTAGGGGGTCCTCAAGGCTTGTCCATCCATCTGTAACTGACAAGCTGACCTCTAGGATATCCCAGCCTTCTGCGGTCAGGGGCAAGGGCCGTGCTCTCAGACAGCCAAGAGCGGCCCCTCAGGTGGGTTCAAATCTGTCATCAAGCGTCAGTTCAGTGACCTGGCGCCAGCATCGTCCATCCTTTCTGCTTGAAGTCAGTTCCAGCAGGCCATATCCTCGTGAAACTAGAAGCATGACCCAGGGTCTGAGCCAGCCCTCTGTGAGTGCCGGGGTGGACACGTGTAAAGGTCCTCTGATGGTCAGTGGAGTCACCTCCAACCCCCAGGGCCCTGAGTTCAGTGAGCTGTCCCTGGCGTTTTATCAGCCACTTGACGTCGGGAAGAATGCAAGTGCAACTGAACATTCTGCTGTCACTGTTTCAGTCCCAAGTCTCTATCAGGCCTCTGCAGCCAGGGGGAAGGAGTCTTGTCTAGGCCAGGAAGCTGGTGTATCCCAAGGGCTTCTGTTCAGAAGCTTGGCAGCCAGCATGTCCCATGGTGTCACAACTGCTGGCATACTCCCCAATATGTCTCAGGGGACCTTGATGGCTGGCATGACAAGGAACGTGTACCAGAGAAACGTGATGACTGGTATGGGTCCATCTCAGGTGGCAGGTGCCATGGCTCCCAACACACCCCCGGCAGGTGCCCGTTTGACTCCTGAACAGGTCTCAGAGATGAGTCCCAGGTTCCCTTGGGCTTCAGTGCCTGGTGGAATCAGCTTGAGTCCATCCAGTTTTCCTCTGGCTGGTGTGTGTCCCAGCATGCCTCAGGTCAGCGGTGCTCTCCCAGTCCATGTAGACCAACAGCATTCTCCAATGTCCACCACTGTCACAGCCAATTACGAACATTCCAATGCTGTCAGCGAGGAGCCTGTGTTGGGCAAAGCCAGTGACCTTGTCTTAGGTTCTGCAGCCAGTAAGATGACCCTAGCCACGGACCCAGGCACTATGGCCAGTGGAATGGCCCCCAGCCTTAGTCCAGGGTCTGTGGCCAGTGACGTGGGCAAAAGTGTTCCTCCTGGGTCCGGGATCAATGGTGTGGCCTTGTGCCTTCCACCAGATTACGTAGTCAACAGTGAGGCTCAGACCCTTCCCCCAGGGTGTGCAATCCATGGCACTGTGCAGTGCACATGTGTGGTTAGTGGCAGAGGCCAGGGACTGCCCCCAGGGTCTGTGGTCTGTGATATTGACCAGGGCCTCCCCCCAGGGTCTGTGGTCAGTGGGGTAACTGAGATCCTTTACCCAGGTGCTGCAGTCAGTGGCATGGCCAGGACCCTGCCTTCAGCTCCTGTGGTGAGTGGGCTGAGTCAGAGTGTCCCTTCTAATTCTGTGGCCTCTACTACGCTCCCAGCAGTTATGACTGGGCGGCTGAATCAGCACCTGGGTCTGGGGCCCATGGCCCCTGCTAGCAGAGGTGGTAACCAGAGCCTTCCCCAGGGGTCCATGCTGGTTGGCATCACTCCACCCCCTTACCTTGGAGCTTTGGCTGGGGAGGGGACTGCAACCCCCTTCCGAGCATCCCCTAATACTTATCTGGGTCAAGTTCATCCCCAAGCCTTAGAAGCTAGTGGCCCAGCCAAGGACATGAGCCAATTGTCCGTGGCTTTGCAGAGAGCCGAGCAGTGGAGCCAAATGGTAGGGCTAATGCCGCCCCTTGAAACCACAGATGGCCAGACTATGGTGAAGCCAGGTGACCAGGAGGCGGGTTTGTCCCAAGCAAATGAATCCAGTGTGGGGCCCGATAAGCCTGTGATCCTTGAGGGGACCCCATGGATGTACCCTAACCCCATGGTGACCGACCTTGACTCCAGCCCTGAATTCCTGACTAAGGATGGCACTCTTCCCATAGGCCAAAGGCCCCTGCTGGAAGAGGTAGCTCCTAGGCAAGCCAGGTCTATGGCCAGTGGACTGGCCTCTGGGCCCCCGCAGCACTTACGTTTTGTCAAGAACCCTGTGCCTGGCAATGTCACCCTAACTCTGCAGCAAAAGTCAGCAACCACTTGTGGAGTCCCCAGTTCCCACTCTGTGGCTTTTAGTAGGATCCCTAGTGTGCAGGGGGTGTCTGTCAAGGACACTGGGGATCCCCTGGCTCATCAGCAGGCACCTGGGCATCCGGTTATATCCCAAAGCCCCTCAGCTCATCAGCAGGCACCTGTGGTCCCCATGATGTCTCAGAGCCCTTCAGGGCATCAGCAGGTGTGGGTGAGCCCTGTGACATCCATGGCTCCCATGGCTCCCCACAGCCCCTCAGCTCATCAGCAGGTTCCAGTGGCTCCTGTGGCTCACCAGAGTCCCTCAGTGCTTCGACAGGTGTCAGTGGCACACATTGGGCCCTGGAATCCTTCCCATGGAATGGTGGATTCTACTGTGGTCTCTGGGTCATCCAAGTTAACCCGTGGCAGTTCTGTGGCACCGAGGATGTACCCAAAATCTGTGGCCAGGTTGAGGGCCTCGAGCCCTTCCCAGAGGCTAGGGACCACCAATTTGGCCTCACACAGGCTGCCACATGCATCCACATCCAGCAAAGCAGCACTGGGTGAGCTCTGGTCAGAAGCCGTCCCCAGCGCCCCCCAGAAGCCAGTGTCTGGGGTCCTGGCTCCTAGGAGCTGTGAGTCCGTTCGCCCTAGGAAATCGTATAGATCCACTCATAGTGGCCTCGTCCCAGAAATGCTAGATGGTTCTGTGGCCAGGATTGTGCCCTCCCATCGAGTGCAGGAGCATGCCCCCAGGTTCCCACTGGTTGGTTCCAGGAGTTCCACAGGGGCACCGCCAGGCTTCATGCCAATCATCCGCACTGAGCAGTCAGCCCGTGGCCCGGCCACCTCTAAGCCGCGTGGGGGGGCTCGGAAGGTGTCTCTGGGCTATGCCTCTACACCAGACGGCACCCGGCGGCCCCTTTCAAGACAAGAGTCGCTGCTGGGGTCTTTGGACCATCCCACGACATCCCTGACTCCCGCTGTACTCCAGGGCCCCGCGGACGCTGGCATGGCTGGTGGTCAAGCATGGAACTCCACTGTCCCCACTGTAGCAGTTGGGCCCATGAGCGGCACGGTGGCCCCTGGTGGTGCATGGGAGCCAGCCAGGGGAATTGTGCCATGGGGCACCACGGGCGGCAAGGCAGCGGAGGATCCCAGACAGTCGGATCAGCTGGTGGCGTCGGTGCAGGCTGTGGAAAAGATAATCACCCAAGCCGTGATCACCATCCAGGCGTGTGCGCGTGGCTACCTGGTGCGCCGAACCATCAGAGTTTGGCACCAGTGGGCCATCATCATCCAGGCTGCCTGGCGTGGTTATTGTGTGCGGCGGGACCTGATCCGGCTCATCAGAGCTGCCACCATCATCCAGGCGGCGTGGCGAGGCTTTTACTTCCGCCGCAATCAGGCCCAGATGCTACTGCCCAGCATGTGGCCGGAGGCAGTCACTGGGGCCAGGACCACATCCGATCACCGCTGCTTCCAGTCCTGCCAGCCCCACGTCTGTGCCCTGTGTCAGTCGCTGAGTTCCGGACTCGGGAGCCCACCCAGCGTGGTGATGCTGGTGGGTTCCAGCCCCCGCACCTGCCACATGTGTGGCCATACCCTGCCCACCCGGGTGGTACATGGCATGGGCCAGGGCGGTTCAGGCCAGGCCTGGGGCTACAGCAGCCACCGCCTCATCCTGCGGACCTCTCAGCATCCCCATTGCCGGAACAAGGCGGCCATAATCATCCAGGCTGCCTGGAGGGGCTTCCTGGTGCGCCAAAAGCTGAGGCAACAGCAGCTAGCAGCCAAGATGCTCCAGGCTACCTGGCGTGGACACCACACCAGGTCCTCGCTCAGCACGGATGCGCTCCTGGGATCAGCAACGTGGGGCAACCCACGGCACATGCAGTGGCCTGGTGTCTAGGACTCCTACTGCCAAGTGGGGGGACACCAGAGGAAGGGCCACGTGGGTCTCTGAGTCTAATGAATAAAGTCCTCCCACAGCCTGGCTCTGTATCACCTGTGCTCACGGGGCATTTGAGTGTAAGAGGGGGGGCGTTGGGGGTGTTGGGGTCACCCTGGATAGGAGGGCCGCAAAAGCTTCCCATTATAGTTAGCACCCAGGATCTGTGACCGGATGGGGAACCCAAGTCCTTCCCAGAGATCAGGGGCCACCTTGGCCTCACTTGTGCTGCTGTGTCATCCATGGTTGTCAGAGTGGTGTTTGTGGGTGCCAGATGGGAGCTGGCCCCAGTGCCCACCAGAAGCCAGGGTTCGGGGACTCAGTCCAGAATGGCCACCATGAGTCCCCTGAGCCTAGAGAGTCCCAGAGGTACAAGCATGGCTGTGCCTTTCAGGAAATGCGAGGGAGTTCCAGTCCCATGCTGATTTGGGCGGCTGGACCCGTTCCAAGGGACCCAGTCTCAGAGAGAGGGACTTAGCCCATGGGGTCAAGGACAAGGTAAAGAGGGAGGGAGCAGCCTGGGGGGGCACCCAGAGGTGGCAGTCTGCCTGGAGGAGGGCTGGGGGTGTGACAGCCTGGGCTGGGGACATCTACGGAGAGGACGGCAGTGGGGCAGACAGAGCAGTGCTGAAGGCATGAAGAGAGGGCTCTGGGGTCATCGTGGGCTGGGAGGGATTTTCGGATAGGTGGGACTCCAGGTGGGCGGAGGGGCAGAAATGTCCTGCCCTGTGCTCAGGGCCCTCTTCTGCCTTGCCCCTGCACAGCAGCCCAGCACCACAGGGAGGGTGTAAAGAGCAAGCACCTGGCCAAGTCCGTGCGACTTGGAGCTCTCCCTGGGCAGAAGCGGTGGGCTCCCAGCTCCTGTGGATGCTTTTGCTGTTGGCACTGATGCTGCTGCTGCAGCCCAAAGAGACTTCTACTCTGCCTGCTGAGTGTCCACAGGTACCAGCAGGTATGGAGGAGGCTGGGCTTCCAGGGAGTTGAAGGGGGTGCGCCTGACCCTGACATCTCTCATGTGTGGCCACCCTGAGTCCTAGAGGTACATGCATGGCCGTGCCCTTCAGGAAATGCTGGAGGGTTCCAGTCACATCCTGATTTGGGATGCTGGAACCTATTCCAAGGGACTCAGTCTGAGAGCGGGAGTGCGCAGGGGGCAGACTAGGACGTGGGCCTCAGACAGTGCCAAGCACCCCGCCCCTAGGAGATGGCTGGCTGCTGCTGCTAGAAGCAGGGGGAGGGCTGGCAAGTTCCTCTGGGGCACCCCCACCTTTCCATGCACCCTTCTGGTCCTGAGCCTGTCAGTCCTGTGACCCCAGCGTGACCTGAACTGTTGGAAGGCCCCATTTCAAGCCTCAGGTTTCTCAGTCCAGTCCCAAAGGGAAAAGGGTCAGGCTCTCAGGACCACGGTGGTGGTGGCGTGGGGGGAAGGGCTCACTTCCTGGCCTCCGAGCATTTATGGTTCCCAGGAGGATTTCCTGTTGCCTGAGTTAACTACTCCTGCAAGAGGATTCCCAGGGCAGAGAAAAACAGACCGCCTACATCCAGCTCCCCTCCCACTTCACCCTTGCTCTCTGGCCCACGTCCTCACCCCAAACCTGCCATGGAGCCGAGGCCACCACACCTGAGATTCTATTGCAGGCAAGGGCTTCACTTGAAAGGGGACATATCTCCCTCCACTCCATAGTTCAGGAGACTTAGGCAAGCAAGCGGGGGCCTCCCAGCCTGTCATATGGAGTTAGAACCAGTTGACTGGGCTCTTAGATGAGGTGCACAAATCCTTCAGTCTCTCTAAATGAGCAGGAGCAGTGCAGAGGGGCGGGGTACCTCAAGGTCACACACCCTTCCCCTGTCATCAGCTCCCTTCAAGGTGGTTTTCTTTCCAGTTGTTAGGAACTTTCCATTGTCCTTGAAGAGGACAGATTCATCTGACCATTACTACTTCCAGTCATAGCCCCTCAGATGGAATCTTCCATCATGCTCTCCAGCCCCCTGAGTTCAAGGGGCAAGCTCTATGACTCCCACGGGTCTCTCAAGTTCAAGGGCAACGCCCACCACTCAGCTCACTGCCAAGAGTTCAGGGATATCTAGCTATCCAAACCAAAGGCCCTCACCGACCCCCGCTCTCGCTCCCACACTTTAAATGTTACTCCAAGACCCATACCAATTCCAGTGGGGGCAGATCACAGCTCTCACCCCCAACAGTCTGAATTCAGGAGAAGACTGCACAACTTGCTTTCGTCCCTCAAATTCATGTCAACAGCCACCACATACCTCAGCTGTGGCTCTCCCAGTTCAAAGCTCACCTCCACCCATTACTCCAGCCCTGTGGATTCCATTTCTTTGAGTCCCTCTTTTTTTAAGTTCCAGAACAGAGCCCTCTTCCATGCCTCTCACCGGCCCTGGGACCTTGATGGCCTCTAGCCCCAGGGAGTATTGGTAAGTTTGGGGGTGGGGAAGAGATTGGGGCTACCAGGTGCAGTTCTGGGGTCAGCCACCAGAGAGAGCCACAGACCGGAGAAGTAGACCCACCTCTCCTTCCCTACCATAAACTGGAAGAGCTGAAGTTCTTCAGACTTTCTTCATTGCCTGCACATTTATTTATTTCTTCTTTAAGATTTATGTATTTATGCATAAAAGAACTGGGGTGCAGGCTAGGGGCACGGGGGGTGATAGTGAGAGGATTCACCAGAGTAGGGAGCAGAACAGGCAGACTGACTGAAGTACACTGCTGAGGGGAGCAGCAGGTGAGAAAGGAGAGGTCTGCTGCGCCATGTGGGTCAGCTCCCTGGCTGGGCATTGAACTCTTACTGCAGTGGCTGCCGATAGCTTCATAGTGCTGAGACTTAACCCCTTGCACCACCAGGGAGGCCCTACATGCATATTTATTAAACGCCCTGTGTATGTCATGTTCTATGGGCCACTGTTGTGAGAAAACAGATTATAAATAAATTATATATTTGTTTATAAAATAATAAAATAGAGCAAAATAAGAGATGAGTGTAAACAGACATGGTTTGAAAAAATTTAGAGATTTACTTATTTATGCATACAGAACTGGGGTATAGGCCAGCGGTGTGGTGGGCGAGAAGATTCACCAGAGACAAAATGGGGAGCAGAACAGACAGATCCACTGAAATACACTGCTGAGGGGAGCAGCAAGCGAGTCAGGAGAGATCTGCCGTGCCATGTGGGTCACCTCCCTGGCTGGGGATTGAACTTGAGCTGCAGTGGCTGCAGACAGCTTCATAGTGTGGTGCTTTAACTCGTTGCACCACCAGGGAGGGCCCAGTTTGAAATTTTTAAAGAGTGATCAAGCAGAGGTGAAGGAGGGAGTCACACAGGGATCTAGCGGGAGAGCAGCCCAGCAGCAGGCAAAGCCCCTAAAGTAATTCTGTGCCTAGTGTTTTGGAGGGACAATGAGGTGGCTGGGAGGGTATCGGTGAGTTACTAGTGTGTGTGTGTGTGTGTTGGGGGCATCAGAAAGCTTAGGAAGGTTGTTGGGTGGCCATGCGGGGTTTCAGGGACTAAACAGAGGTCAAGCATTTTGGGCGAGGGAGCGTCAAGAAAAAATTACTCAGAATAATGTTATCTCCAAATGATTCAAGTGTAATGACCTTTTGCTTAAAGTCATAGGATATAAACCATTATCATTACACAATATCAAGTTTGGCTTGCTCTGTTAGAGGGTCACTGCATTTAGGACCAGAGGTCTAGATGAAATTTTCCCCACTTTTCAAGAACTCCCAAGAATTGGCAGCAAAAGCGCAGCGAACTGAATGAATTCCTTATGGACAAATATCGTCAAAATCAAGAAGATAACAATGTGCTTTATAAAGATTAGCTGACATTAGAGGGAAACCAACAGATCTGCCCTTGAAGACCATAAAAGGCTCTGGCCTTGGTGGGTGTCTCGGCCTTGGATGGCGGGGTCCAGCTGAGCAGTAGCCTGGGCTCGGGGGTGGCGTGTGTCCACAGTGTCAGTTTTGTTCACTGGGTCTGTGGTGATGGTCCTAAGGTGTGGCCACCAGGTTTGTCCATGTTCCAAAAGTTTGACAAGATGAGGTGGGGGGCCCTCCCTGGAGGCACGATGGGTTAAAGCGCAGCACTATGAAGTTAGCCGCAGCCACTGCAGCACCAAGTTCGATCCCCAGCCGGGGAGCTGACCACATGGCGCGGCAGACCCTCCCTGACCCGCCCGCTGCTCCCTTCAGCAGCGTATCTCAGATCTGCCTGTTCTGCTCCCTATGTTCCGCTGTGTGTCTTGGAGGGGCTTGGGACTGCACTGCTCCCCTGTTCTGCTGCCTGTCTCCGGTGAATCCTCTCACCACCCACATCTCTGGCCTGTACCCCAGTTCTTGTAAGCGTAACTAAATCTTAAAAAAAAAAGATGAGGTGGGGCCTGGAGTGGGGAGGTCACCCTCCCAAGTGGGTGCCAGAGCCTACTGATGCCTGAGTCTTCATTGGCTGTATTTCTCTTTCATAAGCAAGAGGTTGTCATTTGCTTATCACCACTGCTGCCATCAGAGAGGGGGGTTTGGGTGGGGCTGGGGTGTTTGAGAGGGAAAACTTGTGGGAGTAAAGGCCCTCTGTTCCTCTGAGACCTCTGTTTCGGAGTTGGAGCCCTGGGGTCACAGTGAGAACATCAACCCACCCACAATTTCAAGAGGGCAGGTGGGAGAAAGAAGCTGGATAGACAACAGCCAACACCATTTCAATGGTGCTGAGGCCCATGGAGACAGTTTTTGACTGTGATCTGGTCCAGACCAGGGGGTCCAGCCTTGGAGGAGGCCAGAGAGGCCTTTCTGGAGAAAGAATTTCTAAAGGTGTATTTATTTATGTGCACAAGAACTGGAGTGTAGGCCAAAGGTGTGTGGGTGAGAGGATTCACCAGAGATAGAGTGAGAAGAAGAGGCAGATGGACTGAGACACACTGCTGAGGGGAGCAGTGGGCAGCTTGGGAGAGGTGTGCTGCACCATGTGGGTCACCTCCCTGGTCAGGGATCCAATGCATGCTGAAGCAGCTGCTGCTAGCTT